AGGCGCGCGCAGCCGTTGTAAATGCCAAAGAGGCTTGGATTTTGAATAAGGCACAGGAGGCAACAGAGGCGCGCTTCAACGGGGCAGTCGTCTGGAAATGCGTTCATGCTATCCACGCTGCATGTGAGGGATTAACTCCGTGCAAGACTTCCGCCATTAAGGACGAGAAAGGAAACCTGTGCCAGTCGACTGAGGATCAATGCAGGCGGTTCCAGAGGCATTTCACATCTGTCCTGAACCCAGAGAGCTCGTACAACCCCGATATCATGGCTTGCGTTGAGCAGCGACCTGTAGTGTCGAGCCTTGAGGAACCACCAACCATGCATGAGATCTCCAAGGCCATTTCTCGACTTCGCAATGGCACTGCTGCTGGTTCATCGAGGATACAGCCAGAGTTGCTAAAGTTCGGTGGCGAGGAGCTCAACAACAAGCTCATGGAGCTGTTTGGAGATGTGTGGCGAGATGGCTGCGTTCCGCGGGAGTGGGCGGATGCTACCCTCATCCCCATTCCAAAGAAGGGAGATTTGTCGCAGTGCGACAATTGGCGGGACATTGCGTTGCTGGATGTGGTCGGCAAGGTCTTGGCGAGTGTCCTTCAGAGAAGGCTGCAGGTATTCGCAGAGGAATTTCTCCCTGAGTCCCAGTGCGGGTTCCGGCGAGGGCGTGGCTGCTCTGACATGATCTTCACCGTCCGACAGCTCATGGAAAAGTCAATCGAACATCAGGCCAAGGGATTTTTTGTGTTTATCGACCTGAAGAAGGCCTATGATTCAGTGCCCAGGGGGTGTCTGTGGCAGGTCCTCGGCCGTGCGGGAGTACCAGAAAAGCTTATCAACATCATCCGGTCGTTCCACGACCCCATGTCAGCATCGGTGCAGTTCAACAACATATTATCAGACCCGTTCAGCATTGGCAATGGTCTTCGCCAGGGGTGCTCTATGGCGCCGGTCCTTTTTAATATCTTTATGTGGGCCGTGATGACCCAGTGGCAACACCGCGTCAGGAGAGTTGACGGGGTTGGCTTCGAGCTCCGCTCAGCATACAGCAGCGATGTATACCGTAAACCCCGCCGTGACGACCAACACCATTGCCTAACAGATTCCCAGTTTGCTGACGACTCTTGTTTATTCGCTACGACTCGGTCTGGAGCGGGGGCAGCATTGTGCTGTCTTCACGAGGTGGCGTCGGGATTCGGCTTGACCATCAGTGCAACGAAGACTCAGTTTGTAGTTGTTGGCCCCGGCATCACACTTACTGACCGCGCTCCCCTCCAACTTGGTCAAGCGGAGGTGGAATGCGTACCGCATTTCAAATACCTCGGTTCTGTAGTGGACAGCGGTTGCCGTTCGTCCCGGGACATCGCCGCAAGGATTGCCCAAGCCTCCAGGGCCTGCGGTGCTCTTCGGAGGTCTGTATTCTCCAATCCACATCTGCTGATGCACACCAAGCGGTGCGTATTCAATGCTTGCGTTCTGTCCCTGCTGTTGTATGGCTCTGAGTGCTGGACGCCCCTTCAGCATGACCTGCAGAAGCTCTCAACCTTCAGCATGAGGTGCATCCGATCCATCCTCGGGGTCTCTCGAAGCCGGATGTGGGACGAACACATCACCAATGAAGAGCTGCTGGTGCGCTGGGGAGACTCCGAGACGATTAAAGACAAAATTGCACATCGGCGGTTGGAGTGGTTGGGGCATGTGGCGCGGATGCCGGACAACCGCATCCCAAAACAGGTACTGTTTGGCTCCTTCTTGCAGCGTCGCCCAGCACATGGCCCACGCCGCAGATGGAAGGACTGTGCTGTCCGAGATCTACGTGCCCGTGGCGTGGAGGCATCATGGTATGATGTTGCATGTGAGTCTCGCGCGGAGTGGCGCAGCACCTACCAAGAGCCTGACAATGTGCCTGAGCCTCCGCCCCGAGTGGTATGTACGGTATGCGGACGGGATTTTGCACGGAAAGGAGACATGGCTCGGCATAAGTGTCTGGAGGAGCGTGCGCGGCCTGTGTCTGAGCAGCGGGGCGCCAGTCAGTGCGGGCGGTGTGGGCGGTGGCTGAGAAGCCGCGGTGGCTTGGTCCGGCATGTGTGTGCCTCAACGGTGGATGCCGCAGTGCCACCTGGAACTACCGGAGCGTCGGCACCGGCGGAGGGATGTTGTGCCGCGCATTGTGACAGGTGTGGTCGCTGCTTTCGCGGTGTCCGGGGACGGGGAAGGCATCGCTGTTCAAGGGTGGCTCATAGACCAACAGCAGAGGAGCGCTCAGCCTTCCAGCACGTGTGCATATGCGGCAAGCGGATGCGACTACCCGTGCACCTGGAGCGTCATCGAGCGTCGTGTCCTCTCTCTCTCTCTTCTCAAGTTTCCCAGTGATGGGATCACGTGACCCTTTTGCGGCAGTGACTCTACAGGACAGGACAGGTGTGTGTGTGTGTCAGAGACAGAAACACAGAGAGGGGGGAGGAGATATATGGATTGTTAAAATGGATTTCGACATGAAGTTAGGTACACAAAATGTTAATATGGGTAAAGGCTGGGCAAGTCGAGAGCCGTGGCAAGAGCTTTAAATGTCCGCCAATCGCCTTCCGTACGGACTGCAACTGGGAGAGCATTCCACAGAATGCTGCCAACAAACTGAATTGAACGACGTCCAGCGGGACCTGGGAGGAATGGAACTCTCAGCAGGCTTGACACTTGACCCCGTGTCGTCCTCAGCTGAGGTGTGGCAGGGTCGTTGATCGGCACGAACAGATTCTTTAATAGGGGACTTGTCTTGTCATTTAAACATTTGAAAACGAAGATGGCAAGCTTCTGGAAGAGAAGCTGTGGCAAGCTTGGCACACCCAATAGCTCGAGAAGGGGGGGGGCAGTCGGGACCAGAGTCCTTTGCTGCAGGGTCGCTCTGACACCGGATTTTGACAGGCGGTGGAGTTTATCCAGGAGTTGCTTTGAAAGACTGGAGAAGAAACAGTTGGATCCATAAGACAGATGAGCCTGTATCATGCTGACATATCAGACTTGGCGGGCTCTTAGGGTCGGGGACCTGCCGTGTCGCCATAGCTGACCAATTACTGGCCCGATCTTGCGTGTGACATGGCTGATATGTGCCTGCCAGGAGAGGTCATTGTCGATTACAACACCCAGGTATTAATTCGAAAAGCTTATTTCGCAAGCTACAAATCTAATATTAATATGACCAATATATATATAGAAGAATATGACATTGTAATGCAATGAGGAAGGGCGTGATGAACTTGGGTGGGGCACAAAGGGTTGGGCAAGAGGATTTAGCTGTTGGCTAGGTGACCGAGGACCCATCACTTGCTAGCGGAGTCGGCATAGCGCCATTTGCGGACGGTGTGCGCAATGGTGTCGGGCCAGAATTCCTTTTCAAGCAGCGTTTGCTCAAACTCTTCCGCGACAGAAACGCGTGCATAGCAGGTACCAAAGTATTGGGTTCCGGCAATTGTGCATGCTGCCATCCAGAGAACACGAGAAGTCCATCGAACCTTCGACTCGAGGAGCGACACTGACTCACGCTGCTGTCTGGTGTTCACGAGGTGTTTGTCGCGCTGGAAACGGAGCTAAGCCCCATGTCAACATAAGCACCGGATGGGATTTATTGTGAATTTTCTCAGCTTCCCCTGCTGCTACTC